TTTTACAGAGAGGAAAGGAGAGAGATAGAGAGTCAGAAACATCGATGAGAGAGAAACATCGACCAGCTGCCTCCTGCACATCTCCCACTGGAGATGTGCCCGCAACCCAGGTACATGCCCCTGACCGGAACCGAACCCGGGACCCTTCAGTCCACAGGCCGACGCTCTATCCACTGAGCCAAACCGGTTTCGGCTTCCATTTTCTTTTATAGTGTTTTCATTTTCTTTCTTGGTTTAGGTATCTCCTCCAGTCCCTGATTGTAGGTTTAGTCTCCCAAATGTTCTTCTGAAATTCTTAATGTTTTGATGTTCACATTTAAAGCCTTAATGTATTTGGAATTAAGTTTTGCAGGGACCCAACTATTTAAAAACAATTGTACTTCTTTAAATTTTAGGATTAGAGATTACTTATTTTGTAAAAATCCAATTCCATAACCCAAATCAGCAATTCAGAAATATCCACCAGGCAGTTCTTCTGAGTGAACTCAAGGATGAAACCATGGAATTATTAGTCTTACTACTGTTATGATGGAGTACTGAACAAAGGAGGCAATGTGACAATTCTATAAACCAACAAAACTCAGAGAGAGGCTAGTGAAATCTGAAATAATAACATGTTCTCAGAATATAAGCAAAACCAACCTGTAGGAAAGAAGGTATGTTTTTGTTTTTAAATCATTCTTGATTAATCTATTAGAACTCTTTATAGCGGCTGTACTAATTTGCTAGGGCTGCCATAACAAAGTACCAAAGACTGGGTGGCTTAAACAACAGAAATTTATTTTTTCATAATTCCAGAAGCTAAAAGTCTGAGATCAAGGTGTCAGCAGGGTTGATTTCTTCTGAGGCTTCTCTCATTGGCTTGTAGATGTCTGTCTCCTAGTATTTTCATATGGGCTTCCCTCTGTGTGTCTGTGTCCTAATTTCCCCTTCTTTATAAGGACACCCATCATATTGGATTAGGGCTCACCATATGACCTCATTTTAACTTAATTACATCTTTAAAGACCCTATCTCCAAATGCAATCACATTCTTAAGTACTGGGGATTAAGACTTCAGCATGTGAGTTGAGGGAGAGACATAATACAGCACATTCGAGAGGTTAATAATACAATGAATATTATTTTATTTCATTAATTTAATTTTTTTAAAAGCTTTGACAAGATTTTTACATTGAAAACTACTTTAAGAAGTAACCAAAGCGCCTCAGCTGGGTAGCTCAGTTGGTTGGAGCATTGACCTGTACACCAAAATGTTTTCTGATTTGATTCCTAATCAGGGTACATACCTAGGTTTTGGGTTCCATCCCTGGTCGGGGTGTGTAAGGGAGACAACTGATCAATGTTGCTCTCTCTCCCCTTCCTCTCTCTCTAAAATCAATAAAACATATCCTCAAATGAGGATTAAAAAAAAGAGGTAACCAAGGAATTGAGATTACCAGTTTTTAAAATCAATGAACAAGTAAACAAATGAACAGTTCAATATATGATAAAGTAACTTAGTTTAGAGGTGAGAAACTGAGTAGAGCTACAAAGACACTTTTCTAGAACAGGAATATAAGGATTGGTGTTGAGGCTAATCTTAAATTCTTTAAAAAAAAAAAAAAGGGCAGAAGGGAACTCTGGCTGGCTGGCTCAATAGGTTGGAGTGTTGTCCTGTACACCAAAAAGGCTGCTCGTTCAATCCCCAGTCAGGGCATGTACGACAGGCAACCAACCAATGTTTCTCTCTCCTCTCTCCCTCTCTCTCTCAGAATCAATAAAAAACAAACATATCCTCAGGTGAGAATTTTTTTTTAAAAAAGAAGGGAGTACAGAGTAAAATATCCATATTTACAGGTGTATCTGTTTTCTTCTAGGTAATGAAAAATCAAAGCATAGCGTTAAACTTAAAAGGTCATTTCAGGTTGTATATTTTTAAAAATTTAAGTGAATTTTGCCGAAACCGGTTTGGCTCAGTGGATAGAGCGTCGGCCTGCGGACTGAAAGGTCCCAGGTTCGATTCCTGTCAAGGGCATGTACCTGGGTTGTGGGCACATCCCCAGTGGGAGATGTGCAGGAGGCAGCTGATCGATGTTTCTCTCTCATCGATGTTTCTAACTCTCTATCTCTCTCCCTTCCTCTCTGTAAAAAAATCAATAAAAAATATATTTAAAAAAATTTATGTGAATTTAATATAGATAAATAAAGGTATTACATTTATAGGTCAGTGATTCTGAATGATAGGAGAGGGTGATGGAAAGAATGTCTTCTGGGGATGAACATATCAAAACTAGGGCGCATGGCACAATGCTCTTTTCAAATTATACTGTCTGAAACTTTGATTTTCTGTCATCCCCTCCACACTACCCTGAAAATCACTGTTGTAGTGCACCATCGATAGAAAAGAGTATGATAATAATATCCTTACTTGGTAAGAAATTATTCAAACTACATTTATATAATCATAGTCTCTAAGCAATCTGATATGACCTCGGAAAGGGACCTAGTGACATTATGTTAACCATGTGCTAAAGACTTTAACCCAATATACTTCATGACCAGAGAAGCTATATAATGTTGGGTGACCTGAACATTAATTAACACTGGGCCAGACACAGAGTTTCATAAAATAATCTGCCCTTTGAAAAAGCATCACAGATATCTGAAACCCATTCCCCACAATTAAGAACCAGTGGCTAGCCCCGCCAGAGTGGCTCAGTTGGATGAGTGCCATCCTGTGCACCAAAAGATTGCCAGTTCATTCAACGTTTCTCTCTCACATCGATATTTCTGTTCCTCTCTCTCCCTCTCTCTCTCTCTCTCTCTCTCTCTCTCTTTCTCAGCATGTCCTTGGGTGAGGATTTTAAAAAAAACCCAAAACTAGTGGCTATAAACCAATCATTTCATACATAGGAAACTAAAATCCAGAGAGGTTACAATGACTTCTGTAAAGACACCAAGATTGGTGGATCCAGGAACCAGGTCTAAATTCCAATACTGTTACCTACTATTTTAGAAGTCATTATTCCTATTTCTAGTATTCAGGGGTTGTTGTTTTTTAATACGTTTTTATTGATTTTAAAGAGACGAAGGGAGAGGGAGAGAAATAGAAACATCATCAATCGGCTGCCTACTGCATGGGGAGTGAGGCCACAACCCAAGTATGTGCCCTGACCAAGAATGCAACCAATGACCTCTTGGATGACACTTAATCCACTGAGCCACACTGGCCGGGCAGTATTCATGGTTTTTATCCAATGTACAGTCTGATCACTGCAACTTAAGGGCTTACAAAGGGCTTACAAACATTCCCAAAGGGCTTACAAAGATGTAAATAAAAGCTTAAAGAGCTCAGCCAGCCCAGTTGACGTGACTCAGTGGTTGAACATCAACCTATGAACTAGAAGGTCATGGTTCGATTCCCAGTCAGGGCATATGTCAGAGTCGTGGGCTTGATCCCCAGTGTGGGGCATGCAGGAGGCAGTGATCAACAATTCTCTCTCATAATTGATGTTTCTATCTCTCTCTCCCTCCCCCTTCCTCTCTGAAATCAATAATGTTTTTTAAAAGCTAAAAAGTATTTAAGAGAAATAAATGAAATAATAGAAAAGATTAGATACATTCTTTTATTTATTTACATGCCAACCTCATTCCCAAAGGGGTTACAAAGATGCAGATAATATAGTAAGATAAAAAAATTAAAACATAGGAAAATAAAGGAAACCAAGAATGTGGCTAGCTTACAATATACATAACTTGAAGTCCTAAACACTTGCTGAATGGAAGCAGCCACCAATTGGCTCTAAGTAGTTTAGCATCAATATGAAGAGAAAAATACAGTCAGTAGAATATTTAGCTTCTTTAAGGTAAAACCAAACAGCAATTCAGGAAAAGCACAACTGGATACAGAGAAAATTTATCCTATGCATCTTTAAAAAGAACATTATGAATATAGTCATAAATACCCTTTACAGTTTCTATAGCAATTAACTTCCATAGGGATTTGATACGAATTGCCAAAGTGCAACCCAGAAAAAGCAATTCTAAAGAGGCCAATAAAATACTAGCAATGTACAGGGAAAATCTGGCATAATCCAGGGACAGAATTAAAAGAAGTACACAGAATACTTGCCAGACTCTTTTTGGTTTGGAAAAAGAGATCAGATATAATTGAAGAATAATAAAAATGAAGCTTTAGAGAAGTTAAAGAAAAATTTAAAGAATAAAGGCCAGAAATGCATACAAATTTAAGGTCCAGATGACTTTTCTCACTAAGGGAAAAGGTTCTTAAATTTTAAGATTGAGTCCTAGCCAGTTGGGCTCAGTAGATAAGAGCATCAGCCTGAGGATTGAAGGATCATGTGTTTGATCGCCTGGGTTGGGGGCTGGATCCCGGCCCTGGTCTGGGCACATGCAGGAGGCAGCCAATCGATGTTTCTCTCCCTCTGTGTTTCTCCCCTCCCTACCACTCTCTAAAAATCAATGGAAAAATATCCTCAGGTGAGGATTAACAAAAATAAAAATAAAAAATTTTAAGGTTGATGCCATGCCTCTTAATCCCTTGGTTTGCCCATTAGAACTGAATCCTGGGATATGTAGGACAATGATCGATATAAGAATCCTAATGTCTTTCAAAGGGGTTTTGATTTGGAAGAAATTTGTAAAACTATTTCAATTACCTCTCAAGACATTTACCCGACCCATGTTTCAGTCCCTATTTATTCTCTTCCTCACATTTGGCTGTTATAATTCACTTAAAAATTTTTTTTTAATTTATTACAGACTGGCTTTGGCCCCCAGAATCATATGCGTTAGGTGTATACCTGCAGGTTGAAATGCCAGCTTTTGAGACCTCTGAAAAATATTCATACTGCTTCTAAGAAGCCTGTTAAACACATAAATAGCACCTTGGAAAATCATCAAGTGTTATTATTGCTCAAGGAAAGAAACGTGATTCAAAAACAAGGAGGGGGGAAAAGTGAAATAAGCCTCTGGCTAAAAGCTTCAGGGTATGAGCACTAGAGAAATAAAGCAGAGGAAAAAGTCAACACTTTGATCTGAGATGTTGAGTTGAGAGGTGTGTTGTATAATAGGGGAAGAGCTAGGTCAGTTGTGGCTGCCAATAACAGTGCCCAAGATTTAAACTCAGGTACAATGCCTAGAACAGCAGTCGCCAACTGGTGGTCCACAGACCACTGGTGGTCCATGAGGTCTGAAAGGTTGGCAACCGCTGGCCTAGAACAAGCATGTCACACTCGGCCCAGCCGCATGTTTGATATGTTTGGCCTAGAAGAACAATAAGAGGCTACAAAGTAAAAACACACTGGATCATCGAGGTGGTCATACTGAGTTGGCAATGGAGGAGATGCTCAGGTTTCCAGATGGGCCCCAGTTTATAGTAGAGGGGGCTCAAGCAAGTCCAGGGTAGACCAGATAGGACTCCAGGTTACAGTCAAAGTCCTTGAACAGCATGGACTCTGATGGACTAGGCTGGGTAGCTTGAGTCTCCATGACAAAGTTCACTGGCTGTTTCTGTAGGAGCTCTGGGTCAAAGGCCACACCCCGAAAGAAAGGGTGGACCTGGAATCGATGCAAATGATGTAGACGCTGGAGGGGATTCTGGCATAAGAGCTGAAGGGAAACAGAGCAACAAGGAATAGGGACCAGGATGGAAAGGGGGCTGTTAACAGAGAAGCTGGAAAGGGAAAAAGAAGTTCATGAAAAAGAAAAAGAAAAAAAAATAAAAGAAGTTCATGGAGCTGTGGAGGGCAGAAAAAAGAATCCTAAAGAGGACAGGACTTGTAAAAGAGGGAGATAGGCTAATATGGGGGCAAACGCAGGAATAAAGGAGCTGTATTGGTAAGAAAGCAGCACTGACCCACTCTCTCAGAAGTGACCTGTATGTTATGGATGGCTAGGATATTTGGAGGACCAGGAACTCAGGAATGAAATTTGAAATGCTGGTTAGAGGGCAAGTAGTGACACACAGTACTTGATGAAGTTGAAGTCGGCCATCTGCCACCACCTCCCCCCCAAATAATCACGGGAATGGGGAAATACCACTTCAATGATAGGGAAAGGAGAGAGTGAATAGTTTGGTAATGAAAAAGGAAAGTGTGCTCATCCTTACCTCATGGAGTAGAAGTGAGAGCCCCTGGTTAAGAGAAGCTGGGATCTCAGAGTCAAAGTGGGTCACACTTGCCAGCATGGTCACATGATCTCTCTCTGCAGCCACTGGGAACTAAGTTGAGGGGTGGGAGGGTGTCATTTCTTAGTAAGAAAAAGGCAAGGTTTCCTAAGGTCTTCCTTCTTCCCACCACAAGACAAAACTCCTCTCTTTTTTGCCCAGCATCACTACTATTCTCTCACCTCTCCAGTTGCCAGAGAGAAAAGCAAAACACCCAGGGACCACCAATCAGCAGCATGGTTGTAAGGCCCTCCTTTCAGGACCTCTGGGGCTAAAGATTTGAAAGATACTTGTCATTGATATCTATTGCCTATCCTCTTGCCCAATTCCTACCCCCCTGCTTTGGCCTTTTTCTTACCCATGTATTGAAGAGTGCCACAAATAGTATAGGCTCGAGCTCCTTGGGGCAGGTGGCGGGACAGACCAAAGTCTGTCAGTTTCAGATGACCTATATAAAAGATAATGCAACAGCACCACTCTGTTCCATCCCTCAGCAGCCTGGCGCATTCCCAAACTGGAAGTACCTCGCATTCCGGGGCTGGGAAAAGAAAAGGATTTACCTCGTTTATCCAGCAGGATATTTTCCATCTGAAAAATCACAGGTGAGAAAGTATTATTCATCTTATTCATTTCAACCCTCTTTCACCGTGTATACCCCCAGCTGAAGAAGATGCCCTACTCAACATTCAGGTCTATACATAGAGTCCTTGCCCAAATCCTTAGCACCCACGAGGGTCCCAAGGTGAGTTGTTCTCAGCTCCCCCATGCCTTCTTGGACCTGTGGAACTTACTAAGGCACCTCCTCAGACAAAGAAAAAAAGCACTTAACTCTACCTTCACATCCCGATGGATGATGCCCAAGTCATGGAGATAGCCTGTGGATGACAGCAAGCAGGGGGTGTACTGAAGCGCTCCTGTCCTTTCCAGTTTCCCTGGTAGTCCCACCCCATCCCTATCCCTGTTCTTTGATCTCTAGCATTAATATGAATTCTTTTTTTTTTTGGCCCCCATTCGATTAATTCTTCCCTCATTCCCATTACCACTCCCGTTTCACTTACACAGCACCAGGACCAGTTCAGCAGCAAAGAGGCGGATGGAAGCCTCAGTAAAGCAGCCAACGGCAGACCACAGGGAGTACAGATCTGTGCTACAGTAGCTGCACACTGCAAAGTACCAAAAGTCTAGGCATTATCTGATGGCTACTGTGCCAGGCTCAAGGCATTATAGGCCTCCTGCCGAACCTGATGCCACATGCTATATGTTCCCTCTCCCTTCGGGAGAGAAGTGCTGTGAGAAAGGGAACAGAACAAAGGCAGAACAAGCCAAAGGGATGGGTAATCTCAGGTGGGGAGAACGGTAGAGGGATCTTGGGAATGAGGAGAGAGACCACTCACTAATGAAGAGGTGCCGTTTTCCCTGCCAGCTGTCTCCCAAACCGTGTACAAAAGGATGGTCAATCTGTCGCTAGGGACAAAGAAAACAGGAAATTAGGGAAGAACAGGATAACTGAAGATCAAGGCAACCAAAAAGTCAATGTCTGCCTGGTAATCCAGGAACCAGCATAATACTAAGAAACACACTGGGATGTGCTGGAGAGATTTTCCTGGCACCACAGGCTGAGGTGACGCCTAAGATGAGGCTGAGCTCGCCCAGGAGGGGCAGCAATGCTGGAGGAAGCTGCTGCACCTGTGTAGGGGGAGGCCCCTACCCAGCACAAGGAGGAAGAGGGGGAGGAGGAGGATTGAGAGGGAGGTAGAGAGGAGAAAGATTTTACTATGCATTTTACTGTATGCCAACAGAAGTTGGGGATAAAGGTAACTGTGTCGGCAAATCTTGGTGACAACACAAATGCTTCTTCAGAAGAAACTAGTCCCTCTAAAGACACCGTGCGGTGTCTCATAAACCCATGATAGCAGTAACATGGTAAAGAAGAAGGTGGCATCTGAGCTCCCCCAGGATGTGCCAGGTACAGCGTACAGTGTGTCAATGCCTCTAAGGGGAATGCGTCCCCTTTTGTAGTAAAAGCTGAATGTCACCTAAAACTTTAAAGTATATGTTCATTCATCCTGCTTGCTCACATAAGTGCCATCCCTGACTGCTGAATTGTCACCTAACATTTGTCAAACTCATCATAATCTTCATTTTAAAGTTTGTTTAGTTGTTTTTGTCTAATAGACTTATTTGTGTATTTTATCGCCAAACCATGTTAGCAGATATTTTAGTTTTAAGTACTTACATACTAATGGCTCAGTGTTGAATGATTTGACATTCCAATTCTGTATATGCTAACAGATTAATTGTATGTTTGCATGTCCTCGTGTAGTTTTTCTTTAACATTTTCAAATCATAATAGAAAACCATTGTCGCCGAAACCGGTTTGGCTCAGTGGATAGAGCCTCAGCCTGCGGACGGAAGGGTCCCGGGTTCGATTCCAGACAAGGGCATGTACCTGGGTTGCGGGCACATCCCCAGTGGGGGATGTGCAGGAGGCGGCTAGTCGATGTTTCTCTCTCATCGATGTTTCTGGCTCTCTATTTCTCTCCCTTCCTCTCTGTAAAAAATCAATAAAATATATTTAAAAAAAAAAAAAAAAAAAGAAAACCATTGTCATAAAATTTTTGCAAGATATATTTGGCATAAAATTTTAAGTTAATCAGTAATTCATGTTAAGCTTAAAATTAAAATGAAACTCAAAATAAGTTATTATATCAAGTGTCATTAAGCTTCTCTTTTTGCATTTTTTAAAATGAAAAATTTTTTATTAAAAGAGCTATATTTTATTTAAAACAAATTTAAAAATTTAAATAAGCAAAACAATAAACACTGATGATTCCACTAAAAATCAAGAATTATAGCCGAAACTGGTTTGGCTCAGTGGATAGAGCGTCGGCCTGTGGACTGAAGGGTCCCGGGTTCAATTCCAGTCAAGGGCATGTACCTTGTAGTTATTCTGGTAGGAATGTAGGGATATCTTATTCTGGTTTGAACTTGCAGTTCCCTGGTGACTAAGGATGTTAAGCACCTTTTCGTGTGTATGTATGTGTATATATACATACATGCATACAGGTCACTTGGATGTCTGCTTTTGTGAAGTGCCTGTGAGCTCCTTTCTTCATTTGCCATTAAGTGGTTTCTTTTTTGTGATTGTTTCATGGGTGAGGGTAAATCCAGTCCCTCTACTCCATCTTGACTGGAAGCATTAGTTCCTACATTGATTTTTTTTTAAGTGTTAACCCAATCTCATATTCCTAGAATAAATACAATTTGGTTGTGATCTATTTTCATTCTTATGTATTCCTTATTATTTTGTTTATAATTTTTGTATCTACTTTCATGAGTGAGATTGGCTTATAGTTTTCCTTCTCTGATAAAGTCCATGCCAGGCTTATATTGGCTTCAGAAAATGAGTGGGAACCAGTTCCCAACCACAAACAAAAAAAGGACTTAGACTAACTCTGCTGATAGCTACTTTTTCCCAGGATCTCCTTGGTTGAAGCCAAGGGAGGGGCAGAACCAGGACAGTTGGACAAGAGAGGTGCTTTTTCCACCTTAGTTCTTCCTAGGATCCTTCCCAGGGCCCTGTGCGTACCTGGATGCTAACCTCCTCTTTGCACTGCCTCAGGATGTCCTTCTGGAGGACCTTGACCTTGGGCACCACCTATAAAAGGATAGAAATGATGACTCCTAGAGGGGAATAGTGCTATTGAATTGTTTATTCCTCCTAATCTTTCTGGAACCAAAACTGGAGGCAGGGACTAGAAAATAATGTGGAAGAATATCTAGGTCCCTACCTTCACTGCAAATACTGCTTTCTGGCCACAGTCTAGCACCTTGAAGACAGTTCCAAAGGAGCCTTTAGCCACAAGCCCTAAAACCTGTACAGAAAAATGGAGAACAGGGAAATTGAGACTCTGGTTATTTCTAAACTTCTCACCAAGACTGAGTCCCCTTCCAGTGAGTCCATTGACCTACCTTTAGCTGCTGATGCTCCCTAAGGGGCCTAATGGGAAACTCCGGCAGAAAGAGGTTGATGAACTGAGGCACTGGCCACTCAGACAGAGGTTTCTCTACTAGCAGTGAAGCTGGCTCCTGATGCTGGCACAGATGCCCCCGTAGTCCCCACAGTTCTTCCAGGCCTGACCTGGTGGTCCCCACACCTGACCAGAGGCTCTTCCAGCCTCGGACCCAGGGGCCCTGGATGTTGCTACCCTGCTGAGAACCAAGGGAGCCACTCTAAACCTTCTGCCCCTCAGGCATTACAGGTTCTGCCCATCTCAGCAGATGCTCTCTCTAATCTCAACCTGAGAGATATATTTTTGAGACTAGGCAAAATCGCCACTACTACTATTGCTTTGGACCAAGGAAGGTCTAGATTTCCTGACTATAATTCACATCCTCTAGGAAAGCAGTATTTGGACATTTTCTCCATGAGGCATCAAAGATTCAGCCTGCACCTCCCAGTATGGAGGTATACTTTCACAGTATAGCCTCCCCACCCCCACAGTGGGCATCACTAACATGCTCCACATCAGCCTCAAGCCCAGGTTTCCTTCACCTCCCCTAAACAGGCTGCCAGAGCCCACAGCCTACCTTATTAGAAAGAGCCACCTGGGCATGTTGCCCCTGCCGACAGTACACTGTTCCCATTCCCAGCCTCTGCCTCTTCTTCCTTTGACTAAATCTGCTGTCCCAGTTACATAAGCAGTTCCTCCCCCTGATGCTACATTACACATGAGCCCTGCCTCTTGCTTGCTGTTCATAACTAGAGATGCAAGTGATGCAACCAAACCTCACCTTTATCCCCAAATCCTATCATCCCCGGTTCAGAAGAGGTTTATAACCAGAACTAAAATGTGCAGAGAACTATCAGCTTAGGGCCAGTATCACACCAGAGCTGGGATGGGGAATATCTGTGATACATTATTAGGCAGGAGGGAAGAAGCCAACCTCTCAGAAGAGTGGCAGCTAGAGATGTGTCTTAGGTTGATGGGGAGGGAAGGACACATATAGGTTGAACCCATGCACTCAACACACACATAAAAAAAACAGCATCAAATTTAAAATATATTTTTTCTCTTTAAATCATTTTCTTACCATTCTCCAGGGCATTCCCCAGGGGGACCTATGGCCAGCCCTGGCTCCTACTGTCATCTCCCCAAGTGAGCCTGGCACAAATTGGGGGAGGGGCTGATTCCCCCCATAACACGAATACCTTTTATACAAGGCAGTGGAATGAGGGACAGATCAGCCCTCTGCCCCCCAACTTTTTGACACAGGGGGAGAGCAGTTACACTTAGAGAAATATATATATATATATATATTTATATATGTCTATTTATAAAAATTTATCACACTTGATCAGAACTGTCCCCCACCCTTTCAGCTGACCCCAACGGAACCAGATCCTAGTCCTGGGGCCATTCCCTGGGTCTTGTTCTCTTGATGCCTCTCTGGCCCTCAGCCTGCTGATCAGTGTGAGGTAGAACTCAGCATTATCATCCACCATACTCTGCAGAGAACAGGTCAGCTGCTAAAGAGTAGTGCCTTTCTCTGCAGTACCCTGTGGGCTCCTACCCCAACAAGTCCTGGTGGATAAAGGGAAGTGCCTCCCACCCCACAAGTCCCTGGGGCCTGAGCCAGAGTCAGATCCTGTATTGCAGCCATTCTTGAATTGCCGGATCACTTGCGCCTGCCAAAAATGGACTTCTTGCCAGGGTTCTTGTTGCCCGCACTTAAACCGATGAGGAGCCGCGCTTTCTCCTCTTCTTCCTGCTGTTGCATGTTGAGGTCTGATTTAGTATCTAGCTTTCCCCGGACCTCTGACCCTGTTGCAGGCTTCAGCCTTAGCTTCTCTTTGATTACCTGATAGGTCAGAGAGGAGTAAAAGGGAAGGCAAATATTAGTGGGACAGACAAAATAAGTCACAGTGAATCAATTCAATCAAGATTTATTAAATTTACAGGCACAATGGATGGAGTCCTTCAAATCCTAAAATGATCTCTGCTTTCAAGAAGCTTACAGTCTAATTAGAGCCATTCTAAACCTGAGTTTGTGTCAGCCCTCAGTTTCCTAAAAAATCAATAGTTAACATATGAAACCATAAACATTCAATTTAATCATCTGAACAAACTCATGGAGAGAGCTGGGATAAAAGTTGCTCACTTATCCATCTGTCCCATCCCAAGGCTGCTCGTTAATACACACTACACTGAAACGCTCCTGAGCAAAGGATCTGCTTTCCAGATCCTGCTAACCAAACAGCCATGAACTCTGCCGGGATACCTGGGCAACCAGGGCTTTGCGGCTGTCCCTTTTGACAGCCATGGCAAAGTCTAGCCATGTCCATGTGTTGTTGTGGTACTCCAGACAGGGCAGCACCAGGTTAAGGTCACCCCAGTCCACACTGTTCTTCTCACCCTGCAAGAGAAGAATGGGGAGGGAAGAGAAAGAGGAAGAGAAGAACATATCATATGCCACTTTTAGTCCAAGCCAGTACCTGAGTCCAAGTCTAGTACCTTCCCATACAGCAATAAACTACAGATAACGGATTTCCCCTTATCTCAGTCTGACAATGGGCCATCACCCATGGCCCAACTTCACAAGCTAGACTATTTCCCTGTCTTTAATCTACAATGATCTTATCTGGTTCCCTTCCCACCCTGTTCTAGAAAGAGCTGGGGAGGAGCAGACCTTGTAGCTGACGCACAGTGGGACCTGTGGAATCTTTATATAGATGAAGGAGTTGTTCATGGCAGCTCGTTCTTTCATCTTGTCAATATCATCCACAGGGTGCTAGGAAAGGCAAGAAAGGAGCAGGAGCCCCTGAAACCATCAGAAGAAATTTGGGACCCCCAAACATCTCCCATCTCCCTTCATCCCTGGAGTAAACTCAAAGGCAACAGAAGAAATCCCCAGCCAAGATTAACAGAGTATCCTAGGGCTTCCATTTTTCTATCATTAGGGGCATGGCCAATACCTCTGGGGCTTTTCGAAATGACCTTCTGACCCCAGAACTCCGATTCAAGCCCTGTGCCACACCCTTCCCAGGGCCCAGTGCTGCTGCATCATCTGTTGCAATCAGCTGCCGAGGCTTCACCACTGGTATTCCTATGAAAAAGCAAGCACACCAGCTGTTGCCTTCTTTCTGGAGCTTCAGCTGTCTCTGAGGCTGCTATGCTACCCCAGTCTTCTGGAGCACCATCATAAAAGTTCTCACCAGTAGTCACCAGTTTGGACTTATCTTCCTCATCACCAACCTCATCATCTTCCACACTTCGACCAGGAAAGAAAAAGCCCATTATTCTATGGAAGAACTGGTGTGTCAGCTGGATGGTGAGAGGCACCACATTTACCTAAAGAGGAAAAAGGCTGAAGAAGCAATTAAGTTCAGACATCATCCCTCAGTTTACCTACCCCTAGCAGCATGATACAATACACAGATAGCTTTTGACTGCCCTTTGTTCCTGGATCTCCAAAGGACTGTTTACTAACCTCAAAGTGCTCCTTAACAGATATACCCCCAACAGGGGGCCGGACTTTGCTGAATAGGCGGAGAGCTAGTTGTCGCCCAGACTGGCAGGAGCTCTGGGGCCGCAGGACTACCTGTAGGATAGAATGATAAATCAACCCACAAGTCCTCTGCAGACTAAAAGGAGAAGCAATAGTCTTGCTAAGATGAGCAAACTTTCACCATCTCAGATCACCACACTGTTTCCCATAGTGGGTTTATGTGGAAGGACCATTACAAATGGACTGTGTTAGAAAGTATGTGAATGGGCTAGGAATGGGGAAATAAGACTTGCCTTGTAGACAGCATTGGGAAGGAGGTTGTTCATTGTGAACCAGCCCAACTCCAGAAGATGTTCTGCTGTATCATCAGATTTATTCACCTATAAAGACAGATTACCCCCAACCCCCAATCCATTATAATAAGCCTTTTCTTAGGAGCTTGCTAGAGAATTGCTACATAACCTATTTGTTTTCAGGTTCTCCATATGCCTAATCCCAACCTTTGATATCTCTTTCAAACTCATATAATACCATGTTTTTCATGGGACCTACTGGCCAGGGCACTAAATGACAGTAGTATTTCCCAGTCACTGTGACATTCAAAAATAGTCTCATTCATTCCCAAACATCCTGGAAAGGGGCAGGGTCAGGGGGAAATGAACAATGTCCTCTCCTCTATGCCATGGGTAATTACAGGAAGCTGAATGCCGGTATAGAATTAAGGTTCTATTTCAAGCAGGACTTAGAATACCTACCTCTGGGCCACATTTCTAGGGATAATCTTATTCACTGAGGAAAACATTTGATCACTCACATCTATAACTGCATGTATCTAAGGGAAATTCTGCTCATGTTTCATTAGTAACCTTTAATACCATCATTAATCCTATATAATCCTATATAATCAAATCCTAATATGCAAATCAACCGAACGGCATGACACGCACTGACCACCAGGGGGCAGACACTCAATGCAGGAGCTGTCCCATGGAGGTCAGTGCACTTCTGCAGGAGGAGCGCCACTCAGCCGGAAGCCAAGCTCACAACTGGCGAGTATAGCAGCGGTTGTGGGAGCCTCCCCGGCAGCACTAAGGACCCCTGGGGGATGTCTGCCTGCTGGCTTAGGTGAGGACTTAGGCAAGTGGTCACAGACTGTGAGAGGGCACAGGCTGGGCTGAGGTTCACCCCCACACACTCGTGCACTGGGCATCTAGTAGTTATATAATAACTAGCCCCTTTTTGTTTCTCTTTTTGTGAGTTAGACTCCTAAGATAGGCCAGTGCCTCTCAATACAGCTGCCTTTGTGTGATTGTATATACCCAATACCTTGCTATAGAGAAACCGCTGCAGCTCCAGTTCAGCAATTCCTAGCTGTCCATCTTCCTCTGTCAGGCGCCAACGTGCCTGAGCAAAGTAGAACTCAGTGCGACGGACCACACTCACATCTTCCTGCTGCTTCCGCAGCTCCATCTTGTTGGCCTGCTGCAACTGGAAATCCTTAAAACACCTATATATGGACAGGAGGATCAAAGTCAATATGGGCAATAGCATTTGGGTTGGGGGCTGGATGGAATGCTCTAGAATGATGCATAAGATAAACCCAGAGATGGATCTATTCTGGAACAGCTGTCCTCTACATTTTTTTCAAAGGATTGCTTCTCACATCCTGCCATAGGAATGCAAATCCATCTTTCAGTTCTACAGCTTCTTGATAAAGTAATCTCTTTTCACTAATAACACCTATGATTATGTCTATAATTGTTCCTTTCTAATCACTTCAAGATATTTTATTTTCAGCTCAGCCACACTAAAGTATTAAGACTACAAAAGTGATCTTTCCCAACTAGCCATTTTTCTCCTTTCCCAGCAGGTTCTCTATTGATGATCCAAAGGAAGGGGTCTCTTGTTCTCAACCTTTTGACTAAGTGCAGTTAAGGCTCATCAGGAAGAGATGCCTGAATCTACTACATCAGCCTTTGATAATACTCATTAGATGTAAAGACTATCAGAATGTGGGCAAAGAAATCGACTCCAGCTGGGGAACTGGAAAAAGGCAGAAAAGAATGCTGTTTCACCTGATGAGGATATTAAGCTCTTCACTTTCAAGCTGTAAATTGGCCTTCTCCTGGTTGAGCTGCAACTGAAGCTTTTGGTTCAGGTCAAGAAGATTCTCATTCTTGCTGTCATCCTGCAAAGACTAGGGAGCCAGGCCAGGAGAAACTGAGAGGAGATCTCCCTCATCTTAGGAGGCCTCCCTGTCCTCAGACTGCCCAGGTGATTACCTTCATGATAGAATACATCTGCTTTTCCAGCTGCCGTATCTGGGCCACATGCTGCCGCACGGCCTCCTGCAAATGTAATATGCTGCTGCGCTGCTCCTCAGGATTGCTCGAAATCTCAAGCTGGAACCTGACCCTCTGTTTCTTTTCACTATGCTCCTAAAGGAATAGAAAGGGAAA